TGTCTAATTTCTAAAGAAATAAAGCACCTCTTATTGTTATATTGTTGCCCCAAGTAAAATAAAGTAATTTTTTTACAGAGAGCATTGACTTGCTCTTGCTTTAGTGTACAGGTTGTGCACCAAAAGCACACAGTATTGTTCTTAAATGGGTCTTAAAGGGGGCATGAAAGCTCCACAGGCTATTTCACACCATTGAGCCATGCTCTAAATAACTGGCACAGATATAACTCGGTCTATGAAGCTAGATTTAAGAAAAGGGTGCTTGAAGTTCAAGTTTTAAAAACAAGTTTAGCACCATATTGTGCTAGTAAAGAACGAGACATCACCAGTTTGGCTCGTTCTTTACTATCTAATAGACTTACATTAGTTTATGTTAGCTAAATCTTATCCAAAAGATCAGATTAAACACACAGACATACAAAGATGTATTTGCCCTTTTATAGATCTGTATCTGCGCACTGTTTAGTATAGACACACAGATGCTTTTTTTTTCATGCAGCTCCTGCTTTCGACGCTCGAGTTTAAGTTCAGTGAAGTTTGGCTCTCGTCAATTAAATTTCTTATTTAGCCACAGCAATATATTGCGTTCGCTTCTTAACCTCATAACTTTGAGCCATCCACCTTTGGCAAAATATGTTTTTAGTGTGTGTTTATGTAAGTCTTTTATCAAGTAAAGAATAATTTTTCCTTCTATTGATTGATGAGGATTGTATGCTGTGAGAAATTAGGAGCTGTGAGAAATCAGCAAATGAAATTTAGGAGAAGAGGTTCCAGGGATTAGATCAAATATTGGATTTTCTGATCTGCTACAGAGGTGATAAAAATTATGTCTAAATAGTCACATTTTATTAACACATTTTATAGAGAATGTTTTACTTACATGTTTGTAGCAAACCTGCACTGATCCATCTGTGCCATTTACCCCCTTATCTTCTTATGCTGAGGGTTGGTATGTCGATGATAGTTGTCGTTTTTTTGTTCTTTGCCCACCTTTGCGTGGTAATGACTGCACAATGTTAGAAAGAAGCCCCAAATAATCAGATGACCCCGGTATGCATAGGGAATTTGCGATGGTGAAAAGAAAAACCTCCCTTTTAACAGGAAGAGACACCAGTTCAGGGAGGGGCCAACCACGGTGAGGGAAAATAGAAGGAATACCTAACTTTATTTTGTTTTAATCAAATAAAAAATATTTTCACTTAATCTGTACTCTTTTTGTTGCCATATATTCTGTTCCTACATGCCTGTTGTATTTTGTGTTAGAGTACTTGGCGATAGAAGAGCAGATGGAAGAATGATGCAACCTACAACAGCAATGCTCAGTAGCTAGTGGATCTGAGAGCAGAACACAACAACCTCCCTGAACAGGGTCCAGTAACCATCACAGTGGCAGACATCCAAGAAAGGATCTCTAGTATGAAGAGTTGGACAGCACCAGGCCCTGACATGATTCGTGCCTACTGGCTGAAGAAGCTGAATGCACTCCATGAGCATCTGGCAGCACAAATGAACCAGCTGCTAGTTGACAAGAGAATGGATAACTGGAGGCCGGATGGTCCTGATCCTCAAGGACCCCCAGAAGGGACCGGTCCCATCCAACTACCAACCAGTAACCGGCCTCAGTACCACATGGAAGCTCCTGTCACACATCATAGCAGCAAAGATGAACAGGCATACAGGTCAATAAATGAGCAGGGCAGAGAAAGGGATTGGCAAAAATACCAGAGGCCCAAAACACCAGCTACTGGTAGACAGAGCAGTCAGCCAAGACTGCAAGACCAGACTGACCAACCTGTGCACTGCCTGGATTGATTACAAGAAGGCCTATGCCCCACACCTGGATCCTGGAATGCCTAGACCTATACAAGAGCAACAGGACCCTAAGAGCCTTCATCAGGAAATCAATGGGCATGTGGCGGACAACACTAGAGGTCAATTTTAAGTCCATAGCACAAGTCACCATCAAGTGTGGGATCTACCAAGGAGATGCTCTGTCCCCACTGCTGTTCTGCATAGGCCTGAACTCCCTCAGTGAGATCATTGGCAAGACAAACTACGGGTACAGACTACAGAATGGAGCAGTTGTCATCCACCTCCTGTACATGGACGACATCAAGCTGTATGC